CTGCTAGCCCTGCTTCCTGCTGGACAGCTCCCCTCACTATCTGAGATCAAGTGTGTCTGGTAATTTTTTTGAAGCCACCTGGTAACCCCAGTCCTGCCAGTCCCAGGCCCACCTCAGGAAATGCTGGTCACCTCCAGGGGAAGGCTCTAATGTGGCCTACCACTTTGCCTCTGCAGGGCTCCCTGTGTTACTTTACCATTTACACCCCCTGAGACCTGCCTACTTACGTGACTGTAACTCTGGAGCAACCCCTTTGCGAACACTGGTGCTGCCTTGGATCGGCACTGGGGTAGCAGGCGGGTGTCCAGGCCCAGCTGCAGCGGAATGGCAGCAGGGATGAATGTGGCTGCTCCGGGCCCCAGGGCAGAGTTCATCGTGGCTTTTACACCACTGCTGAATTTGCCCCTGGGAGCTGCAGTGCCACAGATAGAAAGGCTTTTCCTGGGCCCCTCTCCCTCGAGCGCAGCTAGCGTGCTGTGTGGGGGCTGGTGGGGAGTGCCAGGGGCACAGGCCCGGGGCCCATGGCTGTGTCCCCCACGGGCTGGAGGCTTTGTCTACACTGGCAATCAAGCTGCAAAACGTTTGTTGTTCACAAGTGCTTAACCCTCGCTTCTCCCTCAACTGACGAAAGTTTGCCAGGGCAAGTGGGGGCTGAGCAGACATAAGCACTGCTGAGTACAGGCCTTTGCCACGGCCAGCTCTGGGGAGTGGAAGTCAGAGCCCTGACCTCTGAACACATGCTTTCTCTGTGCCACTCGCCCTTTTGTTCCTGGGCTTAGCACCCTGTCGTTAGGACACTGTGACGCATCAAACAGCAGCCCCTTCTTGAAAAGCAGGGGTGCGGGTAAAATGGACACTGCCAGGTAGTTTGGCCACTAAGTTAAACATATAAAGGGCCTGATTCTCATTGACACTAGGGCCCATGTACCTCACAGTGGCAAACGGCCTTGCAGTTGTAAGTCTCAGAGCGGTAGCCATGTTCGTCTGTAGCTACAAAAACAACAGGGAGTCCTGTGCACCTGAGAGGCTAACAGATTTATTAGGGCAGCAGCTTTCCTGGGTAAAACATAAAATTCATTCACCTGATGAAGTGGGTTTTGCCCCCGAAAGCTTGTGCCCAAATAAATTGGTTAGTTTCTAGAGTGCTGCAGGCCTTCCAGTTGTAATAACTTACAACAATACCCATTTTAAAGACACTCTATGCTGCCAACGTGGTATAAGGGGCCCTAGTGCAAATGAGAATGAAGCCCACAAAGCTTTTACAAAACTTCATTCTCACAGGTGTTTTTCCATGAAATCGAAACCAAAATCCTGACTGAAAATAGCTTTGTCTGAGCTGGCACGTTCCCCGAGCCAAGCCAGCCACTTGTGGAAGCAACACACATACAGCTGTGCCAAGAGGGTCCAAACCGCTGTTACCAGGGAAGCGAAAGGAGAATCTGGTCTGCCGGCCTCTACCCCATGTGGCACGCCCTTAGCACAGGTGTGAGTGATAAAACGCGATGCGGGCAGGGGGGACTCAGATCTCTGCCCCCAGACTTTCAGTTGGGAGGCTGTGTTCACCCAGGCTGGGAAGAAGGGAAGGGTTTTGCTTCAAGTCGATTGTCTTTATCTTGCCACCTCTGTGTCATAGCCCAGTGCTTTGCCTGCAGGCCAGCACGAGGGGCTGGCTCTGCCCATCTGCCACACCCGTCATCCAGCCTCTAGTCCCGGGCTACTCAACATGTGTCTGCGGCCCCTTTGTTTGGGCCCGCAGTGCAGTTTGAGTTCACGCAGGGCTCAGCACACAGCTCGCAGGTGGGAGCCAAACCAAAAAAGTCATCAATAGAATTGTCTCCTCTTGAGATGTGTTTTACTAGTTACATTCCTGGACTGTCATTTCTCATTCCAAGTGCTGTCCTAGGGGTGGAAATCGGGGAGCTGTTGCATTTTATTAATATCAGCAGAACTGACTTACATGGGGCCTGCGTGTTGTGTAGTTTTGCCTTCATCTTTGTATTCATGCCCATCAGTGTGAAAGAAGCTATTTACATATGTTTGCATATATATTTGCATGTCTATGCAACCACAC